CGTTTGTCGAGGACGGTAATGCGGCAGAATCTGTTGGGGAATAAGTGAGGCAGGGGCAGTGAATGACCACATTTTAGACCAATCTGGACAGGTATCAAACAGTTTTTTCATCGGCGTAAATCTGACTCACGAGGCGGAGTATTACACATACTTATCATGCATACCTATTAACCATATATATTATACTACTCGTGCTAAGCCAGTAGGCATGTTGTTTTACAATTTTGACTCCGGCAGCGTTTCGCTCTTCGCTGCCAAGCACGTAATTGAAGTAACTTTTTTCCATTTCTTTTTTTATCCATGCATTTGTACCCACCTCGTTACCAACAGGGATCTCAAAGGCAATAAACTGTTACTGATACTGAAGTAAAAGCCCCCGGAATACGTGCAAAAAATCGGGCCGGAATATGTAAAGAAATCTGTTCGTAAATTTACTTTTTGCACAATAGAAACCTCTTCTCAGTACACATCAGGTTCTCCAAATTTATCCACCTCCTCCTCCTGCAAAGTATCGGCTCAGTAGCATAGCGCTGTAGCCGTTTCCAATAACCTTCTTCTTCTGGCTCTTTTGAACAATGATCATGGTCCCTTAAAAGCGTGGGAAGGCAGAATCTATCTTTTAGTCTATTTAGTGCGTACATAGGTCTTGGATGATCGTCTATGTTGGAAGTTGCGGGCAAAACCATCAGACACTTAGATCTAAAGTCCGCGGCCACGCAGGTGTACTGCTTCAGATCTGGATGGATATCGATTGTTGATGAAAAGGTCACTAGCCAGTCAATTGAAACATTGTTTTCTCAGAAGAAATTTGAAAAAAACAAAGTTCATGAGTTTAACAGCATTTATCAACGTTATAAAATTCCGTGACCTCTTATTCAACTGCAGACGGTCGTTGCCTATTAATAAGAGACTTAATTGTCCAATTTAGTGTCAGACTCGAAGGGTGAAGGGTAAAAGGAGTCGAAAACAATTAGTCATAGATGTGGGCGCATGGTGAGGCGGGAGGTAGTTGTCACAGCATGGCAGTTCATGTTAATTAATGTTCATGAAAGCCAGTAGGAGGTGGCTAAAGGGGGGGAGGGGGTTGAGGTAGAGGATAGGGTACTAGTCAGTACTAAGGAGCGCAAGGAGACGCGAGCGGGAAGGAGTTTAATGCTCTGACACCTACCTCCCCCCCCCTCAC